TACGGAAATGAATGAATGAACTGAGGGTAACTGCCAATATCTGACTGTAAAATCAAAAGAACAGTAGATAGCAGTTGAAAAACAACGCAGTACAAAGAACCAGTGTATTCTGGAAGGTTTCTGAATTACCACTCAGCTAGCCCAACCACAGTAAAACGAGGGTCTGGTAAACAAAATCCGTAGGTCAACAACATACCCTGGTGACCAACGAAAAGAGAATAATGTCTTATTCAGGACGTTATTAAAAAAATGAAAGTCAAAAAAGAGAACGAAAATGACTACAAGAAGACAGTAGCATTACGTACAAAAAAAACCTTAGAAAGGTTGATATTTCCACAGTATTTAAACCAGTGTGTCTCATAAGAGAATGAACTGAACCAACTAAAAATTCGGGTTAAGAAGGTGGTCAATAGCAAGCCCAAAAAGCTATAAAGGACAAACATAATGATCATTTGTGGCTCAGGAGGATAATTTTGATGGGATGGAGTTCTCTAAGCTGGATGGCTTCATCGTGGGGCTTTCATTGTCATTCTAGACATCTTCAGCACAAACTTAAGCGACAGGTGAGCAATAAGGTTTTCTCCACAATTTATTTTGTTGCTCGTCCTGATGACCTTGTGTGTGGCTGGTTGCTTCTGCCAAGGTCTTGTCATTGTCTACATGCTTATCGTGATTGGCTGTTGTGATGACCTGAATTTTGACCTTCTTGTAGTTTTTTATTGGTTGATAGGTTGGGTCAATGTCAATATCTGTTGATTGCCAACTGCCCTGAAGCCCAAGCTTCTAAAAATTCCCTAGCATTCTTTGTAGTTTCTCTATCAGGGATTTCTGCATTACCCAGTCGAATTCGTATCCACACTTGTTTGTATGGATTGATTTGAGAGAAGAAGTGACAAGATGCTTCACCACCAGTTGATGTTAGTGTAGACGGATACGAGGCAAGAGACCACTCTGTCCAATGCTGTGATTTTCGCAGTCTATCTTGCAGATAATGTTTGGTTTTTCTTCGTTTGGTATCGTATCTTTTGGCTTGCATAACAGAGACTGATGAGATTTTGTAAGCCTGTGATATGCAGTGATACCAAACTCTATGACTGAACAATCCAGCTGAGAGAACTGACCCCATCAAAAAATATTAAGATCTCTGTAAACCAAACTGAGTCAACAGCTATCAAAGAGACAAAAGTTCTGAAAAACGTTCATCGACAGCAGTACATGCATAGGACGAAAAACAATATGGGTTGGAACAACACTACCATAATGAAGTCCAAAAAAACAAGTGGAATCAAATTTTGACAATGTAAACAATAATTGCAACTAATATGACAACCCAACTGTCAACCATAGTGAACATTGATATTAATGATAGAAGGTAGGAGCGGAATACAGGACTGTAAGCCACCATCCGCCATCAAACTGAAACGACAAGCAGTATCGAGGCATTTGTGCAGGAGCTTATATGCCGAAAGAGACCGATCCATTCATGTTGATTCAATGACTCAGTAATCAACCCCCCTCTCGCTCCACCTATTATATTCGACTTAAGTACAGTGGCTTTATCCCACTCATCCCGTTGTTTGATTGTGTTAATGCATCTATTGCAAGTGTCTCGAGATTATTGGTGTCCGTCAATCTATGTTTAGCTAAATTCTAATGTTAATCAAACTGAGCCTGTCTGCTTGTTTCCCCTATGTACCTGACCTCACTCACAGTCGTTACATAGGGCTTGATAGATTCGAATATTTTGTTTAATTGGTTCTATTGAATCCTTAAGCCAGACGACAAAGGTTATCTCTGAGTGAGTTTGTAGGTTAAAATGGCGCTCCAATTCCAGCCTTGTTGAGAATCCTACATAAAGTTTCTGATGCTTTTTTCTTATGTGGTATCACGATAGAAGCTTTAAACTTTATCCTACTTGTGTTGTCGTGATTCGTTTTCGTAGTGCTTTTGTGATTTCGTTTCTTATGTGTCCGTAAGAATTTCTTTATAAACTGTATTAACTGTTAGTGCTTCTTTAATGTGTTTCAGCTCCTCTTTTAGGTCTTTGCATTGACTAGTCAGTTTTCTAGCTGTATCATTTAGACATTTGACTAAACTTGCCTTAACTGACTGACATTGAATGAGATGATTTGAAGTCTAGGTAACTGTTAGAAAGTGTTGGTTTCCTGTAGACGGTAATATCCAAACTGCAGTTTGTCTCTCGCCTTATCCTGCAGCCCATTCGAAATAATACCGCTTGTTCATTTTCTACTTCGTAAGTGAATTGGTTCGCGTTTACTACTGAGTTTTTATGTGTAAGGAAATTGTCGATATGTTCCGATATAAACACAGCAAATGTGTCATTTACATATCGCTGCAGTAACGTAGGTGCGAGATTCAACTTTTGTAACGCCATGTCTTCCCAGCTATCCATAAATATATCTGCTACGATTGGGGATATTGCTAATCCATCCGGTCCAATCAATGACGGGATAATACAAGCAATATTGTATTGAACCAGAAGACTAACGAATTAGGAAAGATTATATATATGGAGCGAGAACAGGAGCATACGCTGTTTGACGGATGAAAAGACCCTAGAAGATTTGGATTTCGCCGATGATCTATGTCGCACAATGCCACACAAACTCAAAGATCTACAGGCGAAAACCAATAATGTGGCAGGAGATGCAGCGAAGACGGGAATTCCTTCAAGTGAACGTATAGAAGACAGAGGTGATGATGATACCCAACCAACAACAACAACAGCAAGTACTAATCACCATCAACGGGAGAAACTTAAAGGAAGTTGTCTCTTTCACCTACCTACCTAGGCAGCATCCTTCCAACTACATGCAGCGACACAGATGAGGATGTCAAAGCCAGGGTCGGAAAGACACCAAGAAAGACGTTCATTAACCTAAAATCAGTGTGGAGATCTACTGCACTCAGAATAAAGAACAACATCCGGAGTTTCGACAAGTTAGTGCTTCTATATGGTTCGGAAACTTGGCGCGTCACGAAAAGCATTTCCAACAAACTGCAGGCATATATCAATAGCTGCCGCCTACGCTTGCCTGATACTGAAGATCAGATCAGAAGGCCAGAGAGAATAAGCAACAAGGAATCCACTCTGGCTGGCAACGAACCAACCAAGAACCCATCGCCGAACAAATGTACAGAAGAAAGTGGAAGTGGATTGGATATATACTGAGAAGACCGTTTGAGGATATCATGCACCAAGCCCTCGAGTGAAACCCAAAAGGGAAACGATGAGTTGGGCATCCGAGGCGGTGACATGAACGGACTAATAATAATAATAATAATAATGGCAACTATATATATATATATATATATATATATATATATATATATATATATATATATATATATATATATATATATATATATATCGTATCCATTAGTAAATATGTAAACAGAAAAATTCCAAACTGCGTTTTTGATAATAAGCAGTAAGTAATTTTGCTCGAAATACCATTGAAATTAGAGACCATTATTGCGTGTAAACTTGTCATTAAAAAATTTATTTATAATGCACTCTCACATTCCATAATGCACAAACGTTCATTGATATACTTAATCTGACAGGCATATTCACCGCATTCATTGATAATCTTCAACATGTAGTTTAACTAATCGGGTGTGGAAATATATTGGTTTGAAAGCAACTTTCATCACAAATTGATATCAACTATAGAACCATTGAGAACCAGAGAGCATTTCAAGTCAATAAATCCCTACAAACCATGAATTTAACGCTCATCAATGAGTGCTTTGATATAGACTTCACGAAGTCCCGATGAGGTCATATCATGTGGGATCAACCAAACTGGAAGTAAACCTGATATCAACTGACGATACTGGATGAGCCACATTATATTGTCTACTAAAAAGGGAGGAAATGATGAGATAGGAAGTTGCCTAAGTCAAAATCACCATTCCACTTCACTGATAACCAAAGTAAAAGTCTTCAATTGCCACCTTGCTTTCTTGTGGACGAAAAATCCCTATTCAACAGTCTTGTCCTTAAGCTGACCGATGAAAATTAATATCCAAATTGTCACCCAGTGGCTTTATTTACTGAGGGAAAACTATTTAAATAATATATTTCTTATCAAATAACGTTATCTCCCTTGCAGTTACAGGCTGGTCTTTTGTGGCTCAGTGAAGTATCAGGCCTGAGGGAGAACAGCCGCTGCTCATATCCAGTTCAAGTATTGCATTGCGTCGTTATCATTTTTCGTAATCATTATTTCCCAGTCAGTCACATCATAATGGACCACTGGATTTCAACCCACTGGCTTACTGGGGACATATCTCGATAGCAGAAGGTCTTAGGTTAAATTCTTAGCAACGTTGTGGTTACACACCACTGAAGAGTTTTGATTTGTGTGAAATAACTGTCGATTTCCCCCAGGTTTTCAATGGATCTCTGACTCACGTCATTTCGTGACGAGAACTACTTTCTTCAGGATGTCTCCTGTCTTTGACTTTATTCTTGATGTAGCAATTTTTGAAGCATCCAACTTCGCAGAAGTGATCTCGTATTTGGAGATCATCTGGCCGACTATCAGTCAATCTTATGGACCACTGCCAATACAATGTGGTTTTCTTACACCTTCAATGAAAGTGCTGGCTTGCTGTATGCGTATTTAGTTAACTGTACCATTTCTGATCTTCAAAGCGAATAAATCTAAGGATATAGTAACTTGGCTACCCGAATAGAATCCGAGTCTCAATGGGAACCTCATCACTCAGTGGGGTGCAGGTGTAGCATATATATCATATTCTACATGTTCATATATTTAACGCTCACCTTACGGTTTGACATTTTGTTTAATTGCACTGATACAGAATAATTTATCTGACTACTACTGGTTTCGAATTTGCGGGCTCATTTTTCAATACAACATCCTAATTTACATTTCACTTTATCTCCTGCTGTTTAGACTAACGCATGTGGATCAGCAGTCTCTAGGATAAAAAGAGAAGTGATAGTACTTCGAGAACCTTATATAAAAGTTGGAGTCAGATACGAAAGCATGACACAGATACACCCAGCTAACGAGTCCCGAACAGGGCCAAAGAAGAGTCCACTAGTAGGCACCAAGTAAACTGTAAAATAACCATCTACTGATTATGAACAATCAGATAAAATAAAACCAAAATGAAAAAAGTAATAAGTGATATTTAGGCTGGTCACATACACAAATGCAGATACTCACACACTGATATTGAATCAAATATGGTAGGTCAATGTGTCACAGGTCATTACTGCTACCAAGTGAATACATCATTACCTTGAAAATTAAAAACAACAATAGAGGCAAAAAAATCATAATTACAAAAAGCGAAAAAAAAGGAAGGAGTGAAGTGAACACAACCGCCAAAAGAGGACAATAAATACAGTTACATTTTTCAAGTGCTGAAAAACCTTGTTGAACTAATTAACAAAAACAAAAGGATAGTAGCATTGAAACGACCACTCTCACATACATTTATGCACGCGCACATGAAAAGTATCATTCACAGCCAAACAAAACAAAATATGAAAGAACAAGAGTGAGAAAGCAAATTATCTACAGACAACAATAAGGAAATTTTAACTTTTAAAAATAAACAACTCACAACAATACTTACTAGTTGGGAAATATAATAAATAAATAAAAATGAGAAATTATGTGAGTACACCAGGGAATATCAAACAGGATACAAATTAAAGAAAACTGGACGAATAAGTAGTTGAAGTGACTATCAGAAATATGCAAGTAGTTGCTAGGAAGGAGGATCTCACTCTCAAGGTGTCACACTAGATTTGCTATGACACCTTTGTGATTGTTAACTACAAAGCTATTCAAATCGCAATAACATTGCTAATAAAAATAGCAATAGAAGTCAATTGATACTATACACTTAAAGCACCCTAGTGCTTTACATACATACATACACACACACACACACAGAAAAAGAAAACTAGTAAATACCAATTGAAAGAAAGTAATGATTATACAGCAAACAAATTAACCGACTGGTTTTTAATATACAGAAGGCAGGTGTGGGACGAAGGTGTGTTGGTGAATAATTACTCACAACAATATGAGATATTTGGAACTAGCGGAAAAAATGATTTTAAAAAAGGGGGACATATGCCCAGCTGATTAAACTACAAAATCAATAAAATCGTACGCAGAAGTGCACAAATACACCGATAAAGGTGTTCTTCAACTAAGCAAAACCATTTTAACGCTTTGAATAATTCGGAGATCGTACCAATTCGAAGAGATCACCTGGTTCTAATTGATACGAGTAGAGATTACGATTGGGATATTTCAATTCTTCTGGACCCTGAATTTGTGAAATAAATTGATCGAAATAAAACAGTTTGAAGTGTTTAGCCTCAGTTTGTGGAATATTGAACAGGTTGGAGAACTGACGTTTTGCTTGAGATACTTTAAGATTGACGTTTAAATCATACCATAGCTATTTGGGGAAATAAAGAAGACGAAGAAAAATAGTTAAAATACTTTGTGTATACAGTTTACCGAGTAGTACTACTGATCTTTATATAAGTAGTAATTCTCTTGAATTGAACTCCATTTTGCGCAGTCAGAAATCAGCTTGCAGCTGACTGGTTAATGTTTCCCATGTAAAATAAGGCCACAATATTCGTCCTCATCCTTGATCACTGACATTTTATTGGTCCATTATTCATCAAGGACTGAGAAGACAATCTTTTTATAATAAACTCAGTAGTTATTGGTCCATAAGATAACCATATAAATATCTATATTTTCACCTTTTACCTTAGCAATAAATCTCGCTTTTGCCGTCTTCCTTTCTGCATGCTTCAGTAATGTAGGAACAGTACTCCCATGTTCAGCATCCATTATTGTATGCCAGTGTTGTAGGTGTACAACGACACTTATTAATAAGCAATCCATCAGTTAGAAGAGATCCCACAATCTAGTATTATTCGTTTATATCAAAAAGCTTAAGAGGACAAAAGACGAACGAACGAAACGCAGTCAATCACCTTATGTGCATCAATGCAGTAGGTAACAAGCTACACCTGATGTGTGAGGGCAAGTGATGCCACCTGGCTGCCCAAACCTCGGTAGGTGGAGCGGGGTTCGATCCCGTGAGTGACTGTTTGCTAGTTATCTCACTAAAGCACTAAGCCACAGCTCCGACAGAGGACGAAAAAATAGTTAATATACAAGGAATACCATAAACATGAATGAAGTTCCGTTATATAACACTTTATCATTCGAATAGAGGCGTTACACAGTGATTCAAAAACAGAACTCACAATAGCAACACCATTAATTTGTTAAATCAATGCTCACAAAGTCAATTCGTCCATTTATCCTCCTTTGAAGTTCAGCAACTTGAACTGATGCACCACTCCACGAAAGGTTCTGCTTTATTTGTCTGTTGATAGCAATCATAGACAGACAGACGAAATCAGCGTAAAATCTCGGACATGAATGGATCGGTTCAAGTTGCCGCACTTCACAGTAAGTAGCATAAAAAGAACAAGTGGGTAAGAAAAGAATGATATAAAAGTAGAAGTTGTATGAGAGAATAAACAATCTGAAGATAAATGTTAACGCAAATATTCAAACCTTAGAAGACGTCAAAGACTGAATATATCTGCGCCAGCCACCGATTTTCAGCCATATCACCAACAGTCCTCAACCACTAATTCATACCATCTCGGGAACCCCAACTAGGTAGTCTACATCTCCCCACACGTTCCAGATAAAAAGTCAGGGACTTCATGCATTGATATATCTTAGTCTGGTCACTCTGAATCCTCCGTCTTCCAACCTTATCCAACTTCCCCTGGAATGGGACGTCGAGGTAGACGGTGGCTCGGTATGCGCAGTAGATATCTAAACCACTTCAGTCGATGAAGGTTTACAACCCCATCAATCAATCTACCTGTTTTACCTGATACCCTTCACCAGTAATCATGGCAATCATATATGTTTAAGATAAAGTATTTCACACAGTTGAACAAATATCTACTCAGTAATCCGTAATTTGGTCTTGAACATTTCATCAAATTATAAACATCCTGTGATAATGACGATGCTGATAAATGGTTTTCTTTTTTACATATCAAAGTATTCTGATGTTTGATTGTTCATCTTATAAACACTCAAAAATGTAAACAAATGTATCAGCTAACTTGTTAAGTGTAATAAAACTTATTCACTTGATATTTATTATCAGATTGACTATCTGAGATGGTTCGGTAGCCAGTGTGAATACGATGAGCGGGCAGTTACGCAACACAAATTCATAAGGCGGTCAGGCAAAAGTCTTGGTGATTGAAGTGAAATTAAGTTCCTGTCAGTACCTGGGTCTCGTAGGTCACTTGGCAGAGCACTGGGCGGATAACTCGGAGGCCATTGGTTCGAAACCTACCACGACCCAAGTTTTTATTTCACCTTCAATCATCACTTAGTACTCAGTGTCTGCTCAAAATAATTTCTTTTTCTGTTTTTTCATTCGACATTCGATAAAATCTAGGGCAATTCGTTGGTAAATGTCATGATTAGATTTTAGGAAGTCCAAAAGGAAGAAAAAAATCCTGTAGCAATAATAATAATAATAATAATAATAATAATAATAATAATAATAATAATAATAATTGCTACGTAGTATGAGAACACATTCGCAAAATCATGTGATTTGGTGAATATCCATAAAGTTAAGATGACTGACCTTGAAATGGTTATAGCCAATCGGATTAAAGGGACAGAAAGGTATGACGTATGCAGGGAATAATTTCCATTTATTTAATTTAATATGAATATGCGTAATGTGTGTAGTGGGTAAAAAATTTTCTCCGGAAGGGGGTAATTCAGCATGGAAAATGGTTACGAAGAAAGAGAGGAAAAGATTTAAGTAGATAGGCTTTGTTTAGCTATTTCCAAAATCTAGTTTGTTCATAAGGATCGACTGATTTGAAGGATGTATTCATAATGGATCGACATCAGTTGAAGAAACATTGGAAACCAAGGAACATCAGACAGTCGTTTCGTTCTGCTACGAAACTCCTCCACAGTGCGCACTCACAACCCAGCTAGGGACTGGTTTCACGACCTTCAGATCTTGCTGGTCTTTCAATAAAATGTTCTACACAGACTGGAGATGAGACTAGTTTCGAACAAAACCTGAATGATAGTTTTCTCAGTTTGCCAAATGTTGAGTATAGTGGAAAAGAAACCCAAGTTTCAAACTAACTGAACGAATAGCTCTTAAATTACTATGATTTATGAGCCACCAGATGTGTTATGAAAGCCACTTATTACGTTGATCTCAATCTCACACAACCTCTCATACTCCTCAGTGAATCGACAAAATGATAGCATTGCTCTCAGTTAGTATCATTCTTAAAAGCACTAAGAATGAGTTAAGTAAGTTACAAAAAATCATTCCATGATGAATACACATGTGGGGTTCAAGTTACGACTGTGCATAGTAAAACCTACCACTGAATTCCGTCATTCCAATGGAATTTAGTCACAAAAAAGCCTACTTTTCTTAACATCAGTCTGATCAGCACTCAATGGCTTTATTTCTGAGTTTAACTTTCCTTATTTTCTCCATAAGAGGTTTTCAACTTCAAGGACCAATGAATGTCAAGCCAAATTAATGAACGATTCTATAGATCTGACACGTATGGGAATTATTTCAATTAATGTAGGAGTAGAAGTTGAGTACTGTGGTGTAGTATGTCTCCATATTAGTTTATTCATTAAGTGGGTCACAGTGTGATGCAGTCTTGTTTCAGACGCAATTCATTTCCCAAGGGTTAGGTCAAAATGACCCCACCCAGTGGACCAATTTGATAAAAGGTTATGTCTTTATGATAGTTGACAATTTTACCAACTTTTTTACACATTCACCTTGACTAAAATGGTACAACTAGCTTGGAAACTATGCACATAGGCTTTTTCATAGAATGTGACTGATCATGACCGTGGAAGTACTGACAACAAAAAAATATATCAATTTTGAACTATGTTTATCGACAATTAAATTCAGATCAGAGTAGGAAGTGACTCATGCGTTTACAACTCAGCCAGATACGGTGAATACTAAATAAATACATTAATGTGTACGGGTTATTGATTTAAATTGAAAAATAAACTAGCAGTAGGATTCGAACCGAGGAGCCGTAGTTCTTCTTTCGCCTTCAAGCAACCACCAACCTCCCCCATGTTAACATTGAAATCATTCTCTTGTATGAATAGTATACCATGTACTTTAGTTGATAAAATGAATAATTTCGAGCAGTAATGAGCTTGTTGACAAATGTCATGATGAAGTAAGGCTATTTATAACATAATAAATCGAAAGTGGTGCGTTAATTTTAGAATAATCTAGGGTAACTTATCTTAGAAGCGCATTTAACATAACACTAGTAGCCTTAAAGGATTTACTGGTACATAAAAGTACTAAATTTCACGAGAGAAAGTTTTATCACAAAACTTGGCAAAGCAGTAAAGCAGTATAACACGATTATAACTCAGTGCCTCAGTATTATAAGGTTAAGTGATGGTGAAGAGTCACTATTAATCACTCGTTGAATGTGTTAACACTGCCTATAAAAGCCGTTTAAGGGAATAGCAGTCAGATGGCATAACTCAATAGGTAGATTGTCAAGCCAGTAACTTACAGGCTACTTGGTTCGAGACCTATCACCAGCCAACGCTTAGCCACGCTAGCTGAAGTTGGATTTGGTTGGAGAAGGAATCAGTGACTGAGGAGTCTTGGTGATATGGCTGAAAATCGGCCACAATAGTGCAAATGCATTCACTCTCTGACGTCTCTGAAGCTTGATTATTTGCACTAACCATGATCTTCAAATTTTATTTCCTTCTATGCATCTTCTGCCTTGATATTACTCTTTTTCCATCCAGTTATCGATTGTGAACTACTGTGAAGTGTGGCAACTTGGACCGATGCACTCGTGTGTGCGGCTCTACGTTGATTTTCCCTGTCTATCTGACCATCACAAATGTAAGTACCAGTCACATAAACATTGATAAATAAGAACAGCATAAGCAAGCACACCAAAATTTACTAGCAAACTGTCTCATCTGCTACAAGTGATAATGATAACTTGAAAGTTGTATGGTTTTATGAAACCAAGTATACCGATAACAAAAAAGATGGGGGAAGAATGAATTCACTCACTTCTTTCCCAGACATAGAGACACGTACACGAATATGCCGTTTAGGTGATAAGTCAATATTCGCCAAAGGTTCAAGTCGGCCATGTTGACGTTCTAATTCCCAATAGCTAAAATGAATTATTACTCTGATTATTATTACTATTATTAGGATTAAAGAAAAGATTCAGTTGTTCGATGTAAAAATTAACATTTATTTTATTGACAGAACATACCTTCCTTGTGAAAATCCAAAACATAATATAGAGACAGTGGATACAAGTATCTTAAAAATCAACTTAGAAATAAATGAATTCCGTGTTGTTTCCTTACAAGTAATTTAAAAAACATGATTGTTCGGAAGGGATTCTGCCGTTGACACCCTTAAGAAGAGGATATCGAAATCTCTAAAGAGAAAATTCGTTGCATCAACGCTGAGATTAGTATTCTCCTGTCATTCAATGAGTTCTAACAACTCAAAGGCGAAACTTTCACATTTGACAACTTCTATGTGCATATCTCAATTCATCTGCTCTTGTGCAGCCAGGTATATAGGTTGCTCGATACAGCTGTCATTCAGAAGGGCTCCGGAGTACTATCCCACGTGGTTACAAAGAGGTAACAAGAAAGATAAAAAGTGCTATAATTGAACACATTGTTAACACGGGTCATCCTATTTCAAGAACCTTGTTTAAAGTCATGTAGAAACTGAAAAGAAACATTCCAAAGGCTGCAGGTCTTCGTATTCTCTGAACCAACGAAGCTCTTGCCATCCATTTAGAGAAATCTGAACTTATTATATAATGACTTTGACTTTCAGTCTTTGAAACTACTTCTTTTTTCTGCACTGTTCACTTCTTACATAATTCACCATTCATTCTTATTTCTATGCTCTTTCGGAGAATACTCGATTTTTCAAATATTTTGTCATGTTACGAAACATCTTATTCACAGTTACCAACCTTTATGCAACTTCAGTCATGTTTTTTCCAATCTTCATTACTCATCACAATTTTTGATTTGAATGACAGCTCATGTATTGACACTAATTTGTTGCCATGTTCGATAAACCACTTCTAACTACCAAATCCTTACACAAGAAAAAACTAATGACAGATAGTGGCTAGCAGTGGAATCCAGGACGCGCGTTACGTCCTATTCAGGACTCATCAGCTGGATTTACCTGCTCCCCAGTGAGCAATGTTGTTCCCACTGGGACTCGAACTCGGGGCCGATCGCTTCATACGCCAGACGGGATAATACAAAAAAAGCATAGATTTGCGATTATGCAGCTTTGAAAATGAAACCGATGAAAAGACGTTCTTCGTTGAAATACTTATTCTTCTTTTAAAATTGTCAAACAATCGCAGCGTTTTAATGCATAATCCTTGAACATTGTATATTCCGGAATCCAGATCACGATATTCAAGTTTATAATAACGAACCACTTCTCTGTTTATCCACTTTACCGAAAGTTCCTAGTGACATAAGAGAGTATTGGTTTTGTACTTAGCTCATTTCTCCAAAGTGAGTTATTATTATTTATGCAAAACACTAACTTGGTACAACATCGAGATCGAGGGATATGCCACCATACAAAACAATATAGCACCATTAAAAGACAAAGACACGATAACAGAACAGGAGAGAAAGAACGGAAACGGGTTACTAGGAAAGTAGTCACTTCTGTTTTACTTTTCAGTAATAGATAAAAACAAAAAGGTTGTAGCATGATTGCCACTGGTTTCGATTCTGAGTCGTCTGCCATCGTCTCAAGCTAAGTAGTTGAGGAGTCTCTTGGAATCCATCTAGAGAGCAATAAAACATCAACAAATGCTAACCCAGCGCAACTATACTCAGTCATACGGCATCACGTCGTACACCCAATGAATGACGATCTACATCACACCCAAAAACACACTGTCGCACATCAGAACTACTTTCGTGGTTTTCCCACCAAACCTGCCATGATAAGGATGGCCGAACACGTAAAGTCGTTGAAAATCCTCAGTTTGGAAAAGCCAGATATCACAATCGTAAAAAAAGCTGTCTGCATCGAAAAATTGCATGCTCGACCTTTTACAGCCAAGTTAACGTCACAACGGTGCTGAATGGAGTATCCCACTCTAGCTTTTGACATACAGTTGGAAATCTTACCAGTCACACCATTACCAGCCCCTTTCACAACTACTCAGGTAAGCAAAAACTTGTCGAAAACTTCGAAACACCCACCACCAAGAGTGCAGGTACAGGCTCCTGCTGATCTTTTAGAAGCACAGTGAACTTTGATGCCGCAAAAAACGTACCGTACTAGCGGACGCTCATCGCTGAGTGAGTGGAATTTGAGGAGCTTATGTGTAAAATGATATTCTCCGCATACTCGTAGTTGAAAATTTTTTCATTCCATATTAGATTTGTTTATTTGATATAAAGCGCACAGTGATACAGTATTATTTACTTGATTACGTTTCGAGCATAAATTATTGCTCATAATCATATCATTGATATGATTATGAGCAATAATTTATGCTCGAAACGTAATCAAGTAAATAATACTGTATCACTGTGCGCTTTATATCAAATAAACAAATCTAATATGGAATTACATTCTACCACAGTGCCCAAGTTTTTCACTTATATTAATGAAAATTTTCTCAGTTGATAACAAGTTCACACCACCACCACTAAGACCATTGACCTCCCCTCTAGAGCTTTCTCGAGAATGTTATTGACAGTAAAGTTAAAGAGGACTGGTGAAATCGGAGTCCTATGACATTCAACTATTAGTTAAGAACAATGAAGACAGGTGGCTGTACACATCGTGCTGAATATGTTACGCCTATCTATCTTCGTGTTCATCTTTACACCTAAACAAATTATATTTGTAATGTAATCCCACTACCCACTTCTCATTCCTGTTCACTTGAAACTCTCTCTATGTATTATGAAACTTATCCATTTACGCTTGTCCGCTGTTTTGCACTTGTAAGCTTCATTCCCATTGGCTGTTTTTTCGCCTTGATCGAGGCCGTGTATGGACTGGTCTCAGCCATTACGCTAAACTTCGCTTTTAAGGAGTGAGATCCCGGCTTTGACTGTACATTAGTTACTTGGGTCTAGTTAACTTCTTTGCAAATGATTCGGCGATTTTCCTATGGAAGCACCACAGTTAAAGATATTAACTATTCTTTTAAGTTTTGTTCCGTATTTACAGTATCGCCTGGGTAACAAATCTGAAAAAAATTTGTTCTTCATTTTCGACCTATCAAGGGTCACTTTGGCTGGAGTCTAGCGATTGCCATTTTACATTTAACACCCTGAAACTGCATATGAATTCAACTTCTCGAGATCACATCTCTCTAACAGACAGTTCTAGAGCACAGTCCTGTCAGACGAATCGAAAGCAATTCTGATGTCAAGAAATATAAAGATCGCTGGCCTGGAGGAAGGTGAACACATGATCGATGCATCAGTGACTCGGACGGAAGACATAGTGCATATCTATCTAATTGGTGACCTATTAAACATCGGTTAGCTTAAAGATGGTCATCATTATGGATCCATACACATGCGCACACATATGTAGCCAACATTTTAAACGCTACTACTTTTCTGATGGAGATATGGTTGGTATGGCATCCAAATATGAAACGACATAACTACTATGATGTGCTTATCATTGTGTTGATATCAAATAGCTGAAACGATGTTGAGCTGTTCACCTTAGATGAGTATATATATATGGTACCGCCCCTCTGCCGTAACTAACAGCTCATATTTTGACGGCTTGAGTACAACAGACGTAAATACGTATTCTATTACAAGTTGGTATTCATCACAAACTGATATCAGTTAAAGAACCATTAGAAATTTGGGGGCAATGGATAGCTGTTTGGACGCACTATGAGAACTCCTAAGCGGTGCACACCCATGACCACGACCTTCAGGTTCCGTGGACGACAAATTACTGTCGAGTCTGTAGGTCGGAATCCAATCGTTCACATTTCTTTTTTCTGTCAGTTCATGGTATACCGTGATCGGCGGGCCAAACCAAGTCAGACGTGTGAACGGTTACTCAGTGACGACATTGAGTGGAGGTTCTACGGTATCTTAGAGTGAGAAGTAGGAAATGTGGACCACTGGATTTCGAACCTGGAGTTCGATCTCTGGGATGGTCATGGATGCACACTGCTGAAGAGTCCCATACTAGAATGAAACACCTTTCCAGTGCTCCCAGATTTTCAATGGTTCTCCAAGCGAAGTTAGTTCATGACGAATAGCAACCTGAAGCTATTCCACAATTTCCAATTTTCAAGTATCTTACATTAAACTTGTATTGTGAAGCGTATTCATATCCAGTAATTCACAAAAACAAAATCATTTTGAAAAAACAACATATAACAAAACTAACCGATTAGGACGCTGCTTTGGATCGATTTGACCATAATATCTTACAAACTCTCGTTCAGCACTTACACGTTCTTCTGAGTCAATTGCACTTCGATTATAGGTTGTTAGTTTAGGTAATCGAGCAATTACATGAGCTCGACATCGTGGTTCCATCCAAGACTAATGAATACATCAAAACAGAAAAATAATATTAGAAAACAGATATATGAAAAGTATTTTCCTTAAAAGACGCTATACGGAAAGCTTTCATCAAATAATTGCGTAAACAGCTCGACTGGTGAACTATGAAACATTACAAAAACCATTATTTAAGATATTCACTTGCTCTATTTCAAGGGATACGTATTTATTTTTGAGTTCAACCATAACAACCTGTTTCGTTACATCAATCAAATGGAAAGATTACATTCCATAGCCAGTCATTCAGTCAGAAACAAGAAAAGACCCGACATTCGAATCGAAATCGACTCAGTAACCATAGTCACGTTGTGTGCGGGCTAATGATACCACCTGACTACTGGTGCTTCAGTAGGTAGAGTAGGGTTCAAACCCGTGGCACCAGTTGAGAGCCAACTGTTTAAATCAGTGATCCAGAGCTCCACGAACTTGGCATTACTGTGTAAAAGTTAAATCTGCCAAGTATTGTATCAGCACATCAAAAGACAATGCATCAAGCTGAAAGAAACAGGAAAGAAAGTAGTCAGAGGTAGGAAGCCATGGAAGCAGAACAAGAAGTGAAACGATACTGAAATTCGGAACGACGATTCCCATGAAGATAATGTATGGATACATCTGTCCCATAGACACCCAGAGTAAACAATGATCAGTCACAACACGTAAAAAAAGAAAAGCTGATAAACAACAATTTTAAGGGCACAACACATTAAAGTTCATCGATGATACAGATAAACGTAAAAGAATCAGAATATTTCCTGCTTCTTTCTGTCCATTAACTTCCTGTTGCATCACAGTTATAGTATTATCATTATTGTTATTAGTTTTTTTGAAATTATAGGTGTATCACATTGTACCAGCTAGGAAAATTCGATTCGTTTCAAAGTGCACCAGAAATTGTGTGCTCATCATGTCAACAACTGAATTCTTGTCATTTTCTCTTCTCTTCAAAAAAAGAAAAAAGTTGTTTTTTAGTAGAAAATGAACAACTATATGATGTTTTACATAAAAATGATATTATCCCATTCCAGACGGTATAAAAGAACTATCTGGTTGGTGATAGTTATAAAAGAACGTCCTCAGGTTAAGTAAAGTGAGTCACTAGTCAATATTGCCACTGTGATAGGCATTACTGCGTAATCGTCCAAAATGCAAGCCCGTCACATCACATCAAGACACAACCAGGTCAAATAAAGACCAGGAAAATAAGTAACAAAGTAACTAGAAGCAGTTGAGAGTTATGAGAATGATTAGACCAGTAAGGAAACGTGATATGACGAGTAGGATGAAGATAATGTGTGCATGCATTTACATGACTGATGTCAAGTCTCAGTCATATCATCAAGAGTGTATCGAAAGACTCATTTTATTTTTTATACGAACTCGGACCGTCAGGTCAGTATTTTCCTTAGACGGCTCAGATCAATAATTAGAGATTTCTTGAACTGGAGCCATATTTTAGTCTGGCTGTCTTTAACCCTTTTACAATCCACACCCACTTCAACCAACACGGTGCGTCATGGCAGACAGTGATTAGGCATGCATAACACATCTTCCACCTGACCGAGTCCATCAAGGTTGACAACCTCACCAACCAGCTTTCCTCATCTGCCTCAATTTATACGCCTCTGATGTGCAGTTTCAACGACACACGATATATGTGATGAAAGTGAAAGTGGTTGAACACCTCACACGTCCTCTGATCTCTTCCGCCTTTAATATCTATCTATCTATCTATTAAAAGTTATTATAAACATGAAAGTTTATAGGTAGTAGAGTGCTCATTCCATGAATATGAATAGTTCACATGAATTCGTCAACCACTTTGGCATATCATCGTGAGATATCAAAAGAATTTCAAGAAATTATCAACAAGATCATGGACTCAAATTCATCATCATCAAAATCAACATAGGACCAGGCATTACTGCGTAACGGTCCGAGTTGCCACACCTCATATCAGCACATCAAGTAAAAAGGTAGTGAGGTGAAGGATGAAGATAAGTGAATGCAGTCAAAAGAAATATAAAGTATGAGAAGAAAGGAAAGAGGAGTGACAAAATAGTGAGATTCGGTATAGCCTCGTTAAGATGAGGATAATGTGTGTATACATCTGCGCCACTGACTTCGGTTCTGAGCCATATCACCTAGGGTCTCCAAATGGACTCAAATTACTAACTAACTACTAACTACTACTACTACGCTTATCACAAGGAAGGAGAGATTAGAATTATCTAAACCATGTTCCAAATTTGTGGAGTTATTTTGATATATAACCATGAACAACAAATTGTGTCCGAAACATAATTCGGTGAATAATACTATTGCACTGCGTGACACATCTGATAAACAAACTAAAATGGAATTATAATACACCAGTGCTCAAGTTTTACGCTTATATTAATGTTTAAAAATCCGTTTATCTTTCCCATCCGTCTTGAAAGAATAACTTGTTATAATAGAGAACAGACAAAATCGGAGGTAAGATTTTACCAGAAAGAAAGCAACTGATGAAGAAGAGCGTGCAAAATGAACAACCATTACCTGAAATACAGGTAGCGTATTTCCCAATCGTAAATTCTTCAAACTAGGCATCCATTCACCTAAAGCATCAATACTTTCCCATTGACTGATAAGTGTCTCCGACAGACCTAATGTATGTACATTTTCGAATAAGCGTTGATCATGACGACTATTCGTATTATTATTATTATTATTATTATTATTATTGGTGGTGCTTCCTGATATTTGTTGATTTGAGGCTTTACGGTCCGCCTTCTCTTCAGAGAGTTCTTCACCAGTAGGAATACTATGCGACGTATAGGTCTGTTGATTAGTTTTTGCAGGAATAGGTATATGTTCAATTGGATTGCCCAGTAGGATAAGTTGCTGTAAACCAGGAAAATGTCTACACAATCGACATATAGTCCACCACCTCGATATACCATTATCACTATAATAAAGGCTTTGTAAACGCGGAAAGATAGGCAGTGTATTGTGGTTACAGGCATCAGCATCACCATCATTGTTACCATTATTATTGTTAGTAGTAGTAACATAAGTCAATAAATCACCTGAACCGTCTAAATCATCCTCTTCAGATCGATAGTTATTACGGGCAACATGTAAATCAGTTAGGCTAGAGACAGAGAAAAATAGAAAAGAATGAAAAAAAGCTTCACCACTAAAAATCATTCAGCCTAGAGAATTTAATAAAATCATCCTTCTCAGCTACACATATTCTCCATCATATGAAGATATGAAATCTTTGATCACAATAACGATAATTGGCAAACAAATTCTTAATCAACATATTTTATCTGATATATTCAGTCTGTGCAGAAGTGTACCCCTATCGCATCTCACAACTCACCTACTCGTAAGAGTAAACTGGATAATAGAATTGAAGTTAAATGTACTCAACACCTTCATGTACTAACACCGCTTCTCTTTCCTGATGTTGTTCCCTGTGGAACAAGAAATCAGCACTGGAAAACGCAGATATGACCAGTGAGAAAACGTGATGTAAATCGTATGTAACATCCTTTATTTTTAAAAAGTCATATGAGTGGCACAGATACAAAAGTTTTATGTCATAAAAATCAGCTTATCGAAAAAATCCTCCTAGTAAAATTTAAAAAATTTTAAATTTGGGAACTGTAAATAACACTGTTTCACTGTGTGATGTATCTAATAACAAGTTGAAATCTGAAGCTTCGCAAATTGTTATTAGCAATAATAATCGTATGAAATATCGGAATTTGTGACACGCCATTTCTTTCCTGAGTGACTACAGCTGAACAAGTGAACTTAGTCTAACCCCTCTGTATGAACACACAATTTTTTCAAACTACTTAGTGCAGGGGAGTTCCGATCGTAGTGATTGTAAATGACAGCGAAAACAAGTAGAAAAGCTAATCTACTACTATTCTCCACGACATAACTTTTTTCTCGCTGTATAATCTTTGAGCCAGTATTCACTACGAACTGAAATCAATTGGAAAACCAGTGAAAACCCGGGAGCGCTAGACAGTTGTTTCGTCCTGGTATGGAACTAGTTGGAAACATGCACCCACAACGCCCCCGCCCCCCAGGGATCGAACTTAGGACCTTCGGACTTCACGAAGGACGCGTTAACCATTCAGCCAATGGGTCAGAGTTCAAAGGTTCACAATTTCCTATTTCTGTAAGTTCACGATATAGTGCGACCATCCCCCAGGGTCTTCCATTGCCACCAGTGCACTGCTGAGGAGTTCCGAACTGAGAGGAAACAGCTGTCCAGTACTCCCAAGTTTTCAATGCTTCTCCAACCGACATCAGTCCGTGCTGAATACTACCTTAAGAATACAACCCCCATAAACCTCAGACTGCGTTACTGAACACTGTTTCCCTACATATTTTGAGATATTTGACTCTCAACAACTGAGTTACAAGTTCAAGTTTCGCCCCATATAATAAGATCCTGATAGGCGCGTGTCACTTTTCAGACTATTGAAAGATTTTAAAGCGACTACATAAAGATCTCTGTTCTTGACTGTGAGTTATAATTATTTTACGATTGAAAAACACTAACACTGATGCTCAGTTGAAACTTCGGCCCAGCCAGTTGAGAGTAGAATGTCTCGAAAACTGGGTGAAAATCATTGTTAAGCATGATAAATTGAATGTTGAAAAGAAGATAAGTACGCAGGTACACTTTGATCCAGAAAAGAGTTTTCACTGAAAGACGAGCTAACAATGACATGAAGTAATCCCATCAACCACAATACAATGTGTCTACGTGAAGCATGCAAAGATTACTTTGAAACGTAGTTGACCTAGTCAGTCAGTCAGTCAATATCACCATGGAACTTGGCATTACTGCGCAACGGTCCTAATTATCACACCCAGCATTGACAAATCAAAGTAGAAGGTAACAATTGTCGATCTTTCTCAAGTGCAACAACTAAACATTTAAGCTCTGGGTGAACGGTAGTGAAATATTTAATTTTCACTTTTAAAAATTGGTAACGGAGATTTCGCGAACCAATAGACTAAATGTGATTCAAAAGACAGATGAAGATAAGCACCACGATTTCCAACTGTATAAAACTAGGACAAGCATACTTAAACGGAAATGTAGACAAATTCATTCTAGGATATTTGAAATATTTCTCTAGGAAAGTACTCTTTAAATTACTAAGGTTGCTAAGAATTTACACATGAAGAGTTCAAAAGGAATTAAAGGAGGATAAATGTGAAATACTGTGTACGGTGGTCGGAAGTAACTGGCAAGAAGCCCTGCTAGGCTTATATCTCGTGCTTGTTAACACTCATCAGTAGGATGTTTGCAACCTCAAGGGAACTGATTTTCCCGTCGAAATGTGAACCTGCGTCTCTGACTGCTACAGCCAGAGACATTATCACTGAGCTATTCGGAATGTGACTGAAATCCTTTAAGACTACTGAATAATATCCATTGGTTGTACACTAAAGAGTAACCAATTTCATGTTGTCTAGTCATAATTGGTGACCGAACTCTATCAATCAGAACTTCACTTTCTACTGAATACTTAAATACAGAAACACTTAGTGGTAATTTCCACTAGCACTATTGATTGACCTGAAAACGGTGGTTTGTTCCGTTTAGCGAGAGGTACTGCAGTACTATTTGCACTTAAAGGAAATGCTGAACAACTACAGATTACTAATATATCACTGATAGAACTCACATAGCTAATATGGAACCTTACGAAGTTCAATATAAGTGGATGCTAAATGTTTTTCTTTGGGGTATCTCCTTTCAGCTAATCAAACTGGTCAAGTATGTCAAAACACAGGTTACTTTGTTCGTTTTTAAATTTTATCCATTGATTACCCGAAAATACATAAACTTGAATTATACTGAAGAACAGTTCTGCTATGTGAATATCAAAAAAAGTTGTAGGATCTTCTGAATACCTGCAGCAAAACTTGAAACTGTTTAGGATTCATTTGCACCTTTCAGGGGTAGAATTACGCTCCAAGACTAGTGTGTATAATGTATTGTTCTAGGGATATGAATACAGTCGGCTATTAACGTAAGATATATCACAACTGTGTATCTTTCCAAGTCTCTGCATCAAACACTAATCCAACTAGGGTTCAACAGCAAGAAAAACAAAGGAATGAATACAATGTCGTACAAAGTTGTGAACAATTATGAGACGGTCGAAGAGACCATATCTCGGAAAAACGTCAATTATCGATATTGACTGTCGTGTAAACCCCCCTATATAAAAAGTTTAAGTATTCTCTACACAGCTCAACACAAATATCGTAAATTCCTTGAACACATTAAGTAGTTAGACGGACTCATCATCACCTGAGAAATTGAATCCACTCTGATCGCCCAATGTTTGATAAGTTAAGGAATGATACAGAGATGCCAGTTAACGCTTGTCAACTTATTTCATCTAATGTATTCGTTTCAATTGTGCAACTGTGGTTTACTTTCATCGAATTTCGAGGATACAAGGGTATGACACTTATTCGATCATCACCGACTTTGAAGAACCGTTCATATGCAGCTGAACCAACGGACCAATAAGGCTGAAAGTGAGCGGGCAATGAAAGCAAGTCAGTAGGTGAGATTATAAGTCAGTCAATATGATAGAACTAAATGTTAGGGATGAAATACACTGGTACATAGTGTTTTCTGTTGCGTTACGATGACGTGAAAACTCAACTTACGACAGTAATTATCCATCCAAAGGCTAAAGCTTATAAAGAAATATTACAGAAACATATCGATGTGATATGATTAGAAGAAAAACAACTTTTGTACTCACTTTGGCAATCGACGAAGTAGATCAAGAACCCAATTCCATGGTATATTGGTAGAATTTAGTGCTAATACGTTCAAAGTGGGAAATATAGTTGAGGATGATATAATCCCAGAATTCAAGGCAATTTTGGAGGGAACTAGTAAGTGCTAGAGATTTATTATAAGAGAAATAATACATGGGAATTGTCAATTTAAAATCCGCATGTTACAAGGTATGATAAAATGTCGCATGCTCATAACAACACTCATAACTTTTGATACACAAGTGTATCGGTTCAAGTTGTCACACTTCACGGTATTATACAAAGAATACGTGAACAGAAAAAGACCGATGTTAAGGTAGAAAAAAGTGTTAAACAATTTCAAGATAAAGGTCAGTGCCCATATTCAGGCTTTAGATGTCAAGGGCTGAATACATCTGCGCCATTGTAACCGATTTCCAGCCATGTCATCAAGAGTCCTCAACCACTGATTACTATCGTTCGAGGACCCCAGTCGGGTAGTTTACGTCTCTCTTCATGGCTCACACCAACAGTCAGCGACTTCATACACTGGTCCTACATCCTGGTGTGGGCACCGTGAACTGTCCTCTAACCTAATTCAGCTTCACCCAGCATTGCTAGTCGAGGGAAGTGGTGGCTAACCACAGTTATTGATTATATGGCTGTGTATTTCATACTCTGAATATTTTTCCATCTAAATCTCACAAGTGAGATGAAACAGTGAATGGACTTGTCTACGGCATTTCCAAAACAAGAAAGTTGTTAAAGCTCTTAATTAAACCAAATGGTTAACCATCCTTATCAAAAACTTTAGGCCCTATCTAAAAATCACCAATCAGGTGACTTATGTGCTTCTAAGGCATACGTAATGGAATATCTGTACTCTTCTCGTAATTCGGATTAACTAGCTGGCAAGGCATTCCTTGAAGTCATACAATTTCAGAAAGGTCAGTAGATAGTGGTAAAACCGAAACCATCTACCATTTTCATTGAAGTAACACTTATAATCTGACAAGATTCTCAGAGCGAAATCATACTGCTGACTGGATGAAGAGATATAGGCTGGCAGTAGACAACACACCGCCATATAGGAACCACCCAGTAGTTGACGAAAAAGTAGTGTGCATCGAACAAGTAGATGCTTCTTATGCGTTGCACACAAACTCAAAAGTAACATGAAGAAGTTATTCAATAAGTTTATCGTTTTTCATGCTTCTTTTTCTCTCATTAATTTTCCAATCGATGAAGCAAATCAAGGTAAACGAATACATATGTAAATTTCAATATCCCGTTTGTTTAAAGCTTTATCGAATCGGCATAAAATAGAATATGCTTCATACAGATCTACGTATGTTTTTGTTATTAGAACATTTAGTCAAACAGTATGACTTCACTAACGTTGATAAAGTTAGCCAAGGTGTTCTGTCAAAATATCTACTATTATTATTGTTATCATTCTTATCATTGCAAAGTACCGAAACTCACCAAGTGTATGTGTAAGATCAGACTATGACACGTGAGAATTAGATTAGTGCACAAAGATTTATAAGGGTGCATAGAAACACATACGGATGCAAACACAAATACTGGTAGATGATCATGTGACAAAGAAGTATTATGGTACCAAGTAGCATATCAGTCACCTGATGAAATAAATATATTATGTAATCAACTTCCTAAAAACATACAGAAATTCGTATTCGTAAGTAACATTGAATGCGAAGAGAACAACAACAGTGACATGCAGATGAAATAAACACGAAAATGTCTGTGGATATCCGCTTGGAGAAAATAAACAACACTATATGATACAATAACACAAAAAATCGACCAGGAAGACAAATACGGCGACGGAACATAGTCAACTTGTGTACATCTGTGCAGTAGGTAATGAGCCACGCCCATAGTGTGACGTCTACTTATTCCGTGAAAAACGATACAAACTGAGACATGAGAAGGAAATTTTATTATGGCATTTTGTACAGTACTGATGAAATATTGTATACTTCCCATTAAAATAGTCATTTGCATAATGTTTCATTTTCTCTTCTCTTATCTCAATTCGTTCTTGATACATCCACATTGTCTGTTGCGTTTCTTTGGGCAGGACCTTTAACCATCGTTGGTAATTGCCTATGACTTCTGCCAACTTCTCAAGATAAACCACTTATATCCATTCTTATCAATAGCACCCACTACAATTCTACCTGGCTGCATAAACCTAGGTAGCTACACAAGTAGATCATAACCAACTAAAGTGTACTTTAAACTGTTTGGTTTCATTTCTAACCCATTCTAAAATCGAATAAGGAAGTTGTATTGATTGAAGTTATGGTAGAAATTTCAGTTGCGATTGGATTCAAACTAATGACTTTTAAACACAATAGAGTAAACAAGTGTACGCTCGTGCAATATGCAATGAATTCCACCTAACATGTCAGGGTTAGCAATACCTTTGTAGCTGACCAAATATAGGTAGCAGAAAGTTGAACTCGTGACCAGTTGGTTGAAAGCCAACTCCTGAGATCAATGAGTCACAGTTCAACGATCTTTACATAACTACTCTACTACAGATTTTCGTTATTAGCAACTCAAACTAGATAAAATCAGAACGAGAGGATAGTTGGGTAATTCACTAATTAAACTATCTAGCGTACTATGAAGCCTGATAGGAGACTGCTTTATGATTAGCAGTTTCAACAAGCAACCTCATTCAACTTCAATAGTTATTCCAGCAAAAATGGCATAGTTTCACACCTAGCGAAGCTAATCGCGAATAACGTTTGTTAGATATGCAGAAATTAACCGTTATATTTCTCAAGGACCCTTAACTAAATGATCAAATTAATCATAGGCGAAGATAGAGAAACCCAGCTGATGAGTCCTAAATAGGACGAAATGCGCATCCTCGATTCCACTGCTAGCCACCATCCATCATTACCGTGTAGTTAAAAACAGGCAATATCGAGGCATCTGCACACGAGCCCATATGCCAACAGAGATTGATCAATTAGGTTCAATCTACAACGGTATCATATAATAACCCTTATACTAAAAACTATACCCGTCGCACAAGAAGTGACTATCGTGGCTCGGCGGTGTAGTGGATAAGGCGCTGGCATTTGAAGCCATCGCTCCCGAGTCCCAATCCCGGTGGGAACAACATCATTCACTGGGAAGCGGGTACATCCGGCTGACGAGTCCCAGATAGGACGAAATGCGCATCCTGGGTTCCCCTGCTAGCCACCATCCACCATTACTATGAAGATGGAGACAGATTCATCAGTCTTACTGGTAAAGTTTCAACCTGATGTGCTAAGAGAACTCACCAGTTCTTATCTCCATTATTCAGTCAACCGCTTCAAATAAGAGAAACTTATCAGCAGAACACAGTATTCAACACCTTATGCTTTAAAAGCAAACTAAGAACCTCCGACTTCGAATACGAGTGTGTTACCAGAGCCATTGAACTAGACCTAATAACTGGGTTTTTCATACTTTATGCAGTTGATGATCTTGAGGAATCATCCTGTACTACTTCTGATCAACCTTATTCCATCTTACTAACCCAAGAATAGTGTCGTATATTCAAACTCCCACCCGACTATTATAATTCGGAAAGGATCGTTGTCCTTCATATACTAGGTATAGTCTCGAAAATAGAGTTCACATACAAAAATCACTTATTCTTATGGCTAAAAAAATTACAAGGCTTCCATCGTTGGAAGTTGAGGAAGTTCACTTTCCAAAAATATAAAACAAACAAAAGAACGAAAGGCAAGCGTTCGAATCGAAGGTTTTTAAAATTCGGAAGAGTCCGTTGGCAACAACGTTACTTTCAGACAATTTACTTTTGATAAAACCAATTCCCTAGTAACATTACTACCGTTTTTTGTTCATAACCCTGTTGAAAACATGACCACACGATTTTGTCAGACTTTTCGGCACGCACAAAAAAATGTTTTCCGGGCACCACGGACATCCGAATCTTTTATTTCCTAACAATGTTTCGGTTAGACGATTTTGGTCGTTAATATTTTTAATCTCCGGACATAGTATTACTTTGGTAAAACTTATTTTAGTGTTTCGACCATCATACACTCCATTTTTATATAAACACTCTTCCAATCAATTTTCATACTGATAATAGATAACCTTAACATTCCTTCTATGTTTTGAATATCTTCAAAATAAATTTACCTTTCTCATAACATTTTATATCGAGCACAGATATTCCCTCTTATATCTGTATTCTGGAGAGGGACTTATGCAGCATCATACTTCAATGCAATGTGTCGATATGTGTAACAACTCATTGAACATTTTTGTTTAGTTGTACTGATAAAGAGTTTTTGCTCGCTCGTTGACCAATACAACATCCTGATATATACTTCGCGTTAATTCCTGATATTTATTCCGTCTGACGCAGATAGATCAGCAGTGTCGAGGATTATAAATAGGTGATAGTATATCTGGACACGTATATAAATTTGGAGTCAGATTTCAGAGCTCGACAAATGTATCCTGTCAGAAACAAACCACATCTCCTCAAGGATTTTGCTGAGAGATTTGATAAGAACAATAACAAAATACCTCGTACGCACCATCTTGGTCTTTATGTGGGTCAAACTCGGAGATTCAAGATCAAACTGAATGGAAATCAAAGGCTGGTTGACCACCAGCCTATAAGGATAGAAGAGTTAGACTACAGAAAAGACCAATCACTTGGTGGTGGTTAGCATTGAAATCCAGGACGCACGCTTCGCTCCATTCGAGACTCATTAGCTGGACGTTCCTAAGTTCCAGTGACTGGTGTATCCACTGAAACTCAAGCACAGTAGTCGTTGCTTCAAATACCAGTGTTATCCGCTAAATTATTGAATCATAAGAGCCACGTCTTATGCAGCGAGTATTGGTTGCTGTCTACGGATTCTCGTAACTTGCTGTGAACTCTTATACTGAGCGGAAATGGCCAATCTCTGCTGGCATATGGGCTTCTGTGCGGACGCCTAGATATTCCCTAAAGAGTTCATCGATAGCAGTTCGCATATGGGCCGAGAAACAAGCTATTGACTGGAACAACACCAACACACTTAAGCCCAATGTTAATAGATGGACAGAAAGACTATGTTCAGAAATGTCACACCTAACACTATACGCAACAAAGGTGACTCAGATCAATTGTCACCTCATGGGATGTTGTCTTGGATAAACAAACTAAGTAACAAAATGAAAACTCTGTATGTATAAAATCTATCAGTAAGCGTGTTGAGAATTCCGACTATTTAAAGCGATCATGGACAGCAATTCTGCCCGAAACATCCCAAGAATTTAGAATAACTGATGACTTTGTGAAGATATTGTTTTTAAATTTATTACTAATAAACCTATTCATTCTTTAGTGTACAATGTGGTATTCAGGTTTCAACTGTGTAGCGAGCATCTGAAGGATAGCTGGAGGCGATTTAAACTTTTCTTTGAAAGGCTTCGCGTGCCGTCCCAGTTGTTTCTTTTGCGATATATATATATATATATATATATATATATATATATATATATATATATATATATATATATATTCAACACTCACCACTGTTCACTAGTTGTTGTATTGATATTGACTAACTAACCATCCCCACCTCTTCTAGGAATAACTACTTCTAACAATGTGAAATCTAATGACTTACCAAATGGTTTATTAGCTAGTTACATCAAAAATAGCAAAGTGGATTGATTAAATCAATTTATACATGGAATAAAACTTACACTCAACAATGCCTTCATGGTGAGTGATTCATTCTCTGCAGTTTCTTTGGCATAAGCACCATTTGGATTATTAGACGGTATCATTTTCTGTAGTGCATCATTTAATGAATCAGTTCGATAATTAGGTGAAAAATTAATTTTATTTTGTTTTGATCGAAGCACATTACCATTATCGTTATAACTATTCGTTTCAGATGACGATTTATCACAACACAGGGAAGCTGAGTCCTGAATATACTCAGAGTTGACAGGTTGGATATTTTCCTCAAGGGATAAATCAACACCATCCTCATCAAAAGAAGAATTTGAAGACTGATAATTGGAGATGTGAGGGCCTAAGGGGTTTCGACTTAAATTTAAGGATTCAAGATGTTTTAGCCAGCAAAGAAGTTTGAACACCTGTAAAATAATTTTTTTAAATGCCTTAAGAACGATACCAACCAAAAAAGTTCAAAGATTGTTACATAACACAACATGATATCTAACTGGTATTAGTCACTCGGTCAGAATCAATATAGGACCCAACATTATTGAGTTGTCATAACTCACTTCAGCACATCAAGATGCAAAGAAACAAGAGTAGAGACAGAAATATACAGTGAATGTAAATAGAAGTCATAAGAATAGAAAGAGAGGAGGTAAAGTCAATAACCAAAGGTGGCATGAAGATCACATGTGAATGTATTTACACCAGTAAGACCGACTTTGAGTTATTTCATATAGAGTCTTCAAAAATTCATTTCAGCTGTCATGTAGACTTCAAACTGGAAGTCTACAATTTTCCTATATGGCTCAGATAAATAGTTAGACCGTATACACGGGTGCTACTTCAATCTTTTTACGACCCCATCCCACGTCAGTTAACATCGCAACTTGGCGTAGACGGTGGCCAGAAATGAATAACACATGTATGTCACCTTAGCTGACGGAGATTTACAACTTTATTATCGAAGTTACCTCTCTTACCTAAGAACCTAAGTCAGGTCTCAGCATCTCCAACCATTTTACTCTCTATTGTCAGAGGATGTATTGACGAAGCTCAGTCTGGAAGCGATGGTCAAAAGCACACCGAAAAATTCTATGATTATCACTCAAGGTGTTAAAGAGACTCTGAATTTTGTCAGCTTTTTTATCCTAAAGGAATACGTCATCTTTAGGTCTACTAAAGTCTCGTGTGGTAACGTCAACTCCTGGAGAATTCATATAGGAGAAACACCTCGACAAGCACGTTTGTAACAGAATAAACTTAAAACAGAATGAAAAATCCTGCTGGACACCAATAACTGACGCACGCAATTCATGTGACACCACACCATGGGCCCTTAGACACCCATGAGTGTTGCAATACAGAACCTTTAGCACCTTTTCTACAGAATGTAACTCCGAACATAGCTTGAACACTGTCAAGTGATCATGATTTTCTATAAAACTCACCGTCTGAATATAGTTACACTTGCTTATACTTTACTGCGCTTATAAGTCACCGAATGAACTGAATGCAATGAGAGATATTCCCAACCCATTAACTAGCAATTTTGTTTTCTGTAGGTTTATAGCTAGTGAGTTTATACAGCTAAATGATACGTCCACAACAGAATTGTAAATATATAAAGGGGCCATTTAAGTCACAAAATGAATGAAAGCTACCAGCTATCATTCGACGGCTAATTCTCAACAACCAGACATGAAACAATAATTAACAAATCTGATAAAATAATCACGAAATAATGCCATAAAAAAACTTATAAACAGGCTGTAGTTTAACATAAATACAATAAGTGGTCGAAATATACTTGACCAGATTTTGCATCCACCTTCCTTTGGTCCGTCATAACACTACCCAATAAGATTTATAAAAGATAATATTGGGAACAGGAAACAGAAAACATTGATAGAAGTAAATGAAGATAACTGTAAAAAGACAGAAGTATTACCATACAATGGGGGAACTTCAGAATCAATAAATCCTGAAAAACGGGCATTTATTCTAATGTCGGGTGAATGTATCCTATCACAAACAAACCACATCTCCTCAAGGATTTTGCTGAGAGATTTGATAAGAACAATAACAAAATACCTCGTACGCACCATCTTGGTCTTTATGTGGGTCAAACTCGGAGATTCAAGATCAAACTGAATGGAAATCAAAGGCTGGTTGACCACCAGCCTATAAGGATAGAAGAGTTAGACTACAGAAAAGACCAATCACTTGGTGGTGGTTAGCATTGAAATCCAGGACGCACGCTTCGCTCCATTCGAGACTCATTAGCTGGACGTTCCTAAGTTCCAGTGACTGGTGTATCCACTGAAACTCAAGCACAGTAGTCGTTGCTTCAAATACCAGTGTTATCCGCTAAATTATTGAATCATAAGAGCCACGTCTTATGCAGCGAGTATTGGTTGCTGTCTACGGATTCTCGTAACTTGCTGTGAACTCTTATACTGAGCGGAAATGGCCAATCTCTGCTGGCATATGGGCTTCTGTGCGGACGCCTAGATATTCCCTAAAGAGTTCATCGATAGCAGTTCGCATATGGGCCGAGAAACAAGCTATTGACTGGAACAACACCAACACACTTAAGCCCAATGTTAATAGATGGACAGAAAGACTATGTTCAGAAATGTCACACCTAACACTATACGCAACAAAGGTGACTCAGATCAATTGTCACCTCATGGGATGTTGTCTTGGATAAACAAACTAAGTAACAAAATGAAAACTCTGTATGTATAAAATCTATCAGTAAGCGTGTTGAGAATTCCGACTATTTAAAGCGATCATGGACAGCAATTCTGCCCGAAACATCCCCAAGAATTTAGAATAACTGATGACTTTGTGAAGATATTGTTTTTAAATTTATTACTAATAAACCTATTCATTCTTTAGTGTACAATGTGGTATTCAGGTTTCAACTGTGTAGCGAGCATCTGAAGGATAGCTGGAGGCGATTTAAACTTTTCTTTGAAAGGCTTTGTGTACCGTCCTAGTTGTTTCCTTTGCAACTGGGATTCCAGGCCCATCGTTTTCCACTATGGGCTGACTAACTGACGCTTTTACCTTGACTTTACTAACAGACCTGAATAATTGTTTACCATCGGCTTTCTCCGCTGTTTTCTTCATCTTCTCGGCCTTCGCTGTCCGACATTTATCTTGTTCTTTCCATAAACTCATTGTTAGTCTACATTGGAAGTGATTTTGCTTCTCATTGTGATGGAAGGCCGCAGAAATGCTTTTTTAAGGGTCATGTATGATACCAAGCTTCTTCAGCATCAGTAACACCACTATGTTGTGACAACCGCCTAGCCAAGTTTTTGAAAGTAGTAGCAGCAGTGGTAGTCTTCCAGCGATAACTGATGACAATATCTCGATATCTGTCGATGGTTGAGTTGGAGTTTGTGGACGCTTAGTCAGTTTTGCATTTCACGTCTTAACTTCATTCTGATCAGAAATGGGTGCTTATTTCAGCACAGTTGTAGTATCCGATTTCCATTATCCATTCGTTCAGCTGAGATTCTGAAAGTACTACAACTTAAGTACCCTTTTGTTTGGTTTAGTACTCTTACTTTTGCACTGGAGTCATCCGTTTCGAAGACCACATCAAACGGTTGCTTATTAGTAGGGGACTGGACAGTTTTCGGTGAAACTCATCTCTCAATTCATCCGAACTGCAGAAATAACAAAAAGACGACGGCAAGTATCACAATTTTTTCATAGTCTTCCATACACCACTCAGTTGAAGGTGCATAAGTGCTCGTAAACAGAGATCCAGTCAAGTAGATTGCTTTTTGCTTAAGGAATTAACGCTCTAACTACACTTAAAAATCCTTCAGAATTAGCCAGCGGAGTTCCCCGATACTCGAGAAAGGAATTTTCAGATTTACCATATTGTCCAGGTGAGGTCAAGTAGACAACAATAATTGAGTATTACACGCGTAATTCGTATTTACATTGTAACGTCATACACTTCCCCAAAATCAATAGCCTAGGGTTTGACGACTTCGACATTGATGCTGACCTTGATAGTTTAACTGGACTCGCTAAGCTGAAGGCACCCGGTCAAGCATCCTCGCCATTTGGCACGCTGTCGTGTTACGTTGCATTGCTCGTATTCGACTCTCTAGCCAGTTAGTTGGAACGCATCGGTATTTTGGCATAACCATCCAAATATACTATTCCATCCGACTACGCTATCGTGTTCTTCCTTGGTCTCGTATTCGTGGGTATATAACAAGTTCGAATAATTAGTGATTGGTCTTTGCGTCTGTCAAGTTCGCACCAGGACAAATCCTAAATTGGTGAGCCCGACGTGATCACATATCCCGACCAATAACAAGTATTGAATTGGTGAGCCTGTTCCATTTTATATTTGTTTATTGTTTTCATTTCGATAACATTTATATATCCATTTACTACACTTTCTCATGTCCGACCACACTCCCAAGCTTATTCGTATTAAGCCGACTCGAACACGATCCAACTCGTGCCATATTGGCCAGACAATGCAGAAACATGGTTTCTGTATGCCGAGGCCGATTTTCGAGAACAGGGTGTCTCAGATCCTCATCTCGATTTCTTGCTGTCATACGTTCACTACCGCGAGAATTAAACAGGTATGTTACAGCAAACATGTTTAATCCTGAAGTAAGTGACCCTTATGCACTTCTAAAGGCTGCACTCTTGAAGAAAAGCGATCTCACAGATCGCCAACGTCTAGACGAATTGCTTCGTAACATCGAGCTAGGCAGCCACTCAGCTACTGAAGTCCTCGCACGCATGCGAGAAGTAATCGGTGCACGAACATTTGACGATGGTTTCTTCCGAGAACTATTTCTCTCGAAACTACCACAACCGGTGCAAACCGTGTTGGTGACACTCCAGTCAGTCCCACTCGACGACCTGGCAGCCTCAGCAGATAAAATACTGGAGATATCCAGCAGACCCGTCTCCAACGTATATTCTATCTGCGACAAAACAGAGCGCCAGGATTCGGAGGTGACCAAGTTGTGCAACTCTGTGAAACGGTTGCTACGATCTCGAAGTCCTAGATCACGTAGCACTTCACAGAAACGCACCTTGGCGCATCGCAGCGTAGCCCTAAAACGAAACCCAACAGGGTGGAAAACCCTGAATGGTGCTGGTTTCATAACACTTACGGGGATGAAGCCAGAAAATGTCGTAAACCATGCCGTTTTAAGAAGGACACAAACTCGGGAAACGGTCACGCCGGCACGTGCTCACGGCAACCGTAGCCGGCGGAAAAAGCCGTTTGCTCTACGTCACCGACATTAAAACGAAAGTCCGCTACCTCGTCGACACCGGCGCAGAAGTTAGCGTTCTTCCAGCAACGACAAAGGAGCGTCATCTCGACCCATCCTTCAATCTTCAAGCAGCCAACGGC